GTCATTTTCACGACAACATGAGCAAGTACTAGTTAATACATGGGCAGCAGATAAAGATTGGATGCGAATGTTTTAACGTGCTTAAAAAACGAACCATTTTATGAGTTCATTGACTAAGTAATTTTAAAAATAAACGTTGTTTAAGCCGAGAATATCAAAGCTAAAGTTTATGTATATCAGGACAAATCTTTATCCGATTTACAAACATTGATTAAACATTCATTTCTTTTGTATTTTCCTCATGAATTATTGATGAGATTTTTAATGGTAGATAAAAACATTGTTAATGCATGCTCAGCATTTGCCTGGTTTCAATCTCAGCAGTAGGTGCTAGCCTCGTTCTGAAAACCGCACGAGCGGCTGGTTGCGTTGCACACAACGCTGAATTTGTCAGGTTAGGCGGAAACGTTTCATTCCTATGCTTTTTTGCTGCGATTGTATTTCAGTTATTTTGCAAGTTATTGAATTTTCAAGTTCTGTCAGCCTCGCTTTGACTACACAACAGCGCAGATTTCAACATTAAACTTTCAATAAATTTCATTTTATGTAATAATGCGAGAAAAAAAAACACGTTACTTACGGAGCAGCTTCGGTCCAAGTGGGGGGAAACCTGTGACCTCCCTTCGGGCTAGGGGCATTTTTCAAGACCTCGTGTCAATTTTCCCCATCCAGTCCTCGCAACTGGTAAATATGATCATTACTTTTAAGGCGAACAATCTGTATTTCTTGGCCATATAATTATATGAGTGTCCTTACCAATTTAATCATATTTTACCAGAACATTGTGCAAGCCAGGACAAAGTGGAATTTTCCTTGGAACTAACAAATGAGCAGTTCAAACAAAAGATAATTGAAATCTATCCCAAGTTAGAAAATGCTTGTTTTGTGTTCATGAAAGCTGGCAAAGACAATAAATTGGAAGAATTGAACCCTGGTAGATGCTGCTTCAGGTGTTACACGCCAGATAATGTTTACCACAGTGACCGAGGACAAGGAAGGCTTTATATACGAAAGATTCCTGAGAATCAGGTATTGTTTATCTAATCCAAGATTTGTTTTACTGTCACTGTAAATTAATGCTAAAAAGTCCAACACTCTTGTTTTATACTTCAAATTAGTGCAATTTTGTCAAAGGAGTTAGTCTTTACTTTTTGACTACTGTATTTTAGCCACTTTTTAAATTTTAAAAATGTAGCCAAAATTGGCGAAACAGTAAAGGGTAAGCCTTTTTAAAGTACAAGAATAACCCCTTGGCCTTTACTTTTTGTCAACAAAAAGTTAAGGAGTTAGTCTTGGCAATTTTTGACCACTTTGCGAATTTTTGAGAAAGAGGCAATGAACTAACATTAGTTTACTTTAAGTAAGACTTTTGTGATGGTGTGATACCACGCCGACGCTGAAAACGTCGATTTTTTATCTTTTTTGGTGTGTTGATCCAACCAAATCATGATAGTTCATGATAGAACTCAACATATTGACCAACTTTTTTAATGAAATATTTTCTACGTTATAGATATCCCAGTGTAACCATGGAGTATCGCCTCTTAAGAGATTGCGTGTTGCCGCTGGTGGTTATATACAAATTCTACCAAAACCTGTTCCAGCGGTCTCCACAAATACAGCATTCGGAACTGAGTCGATCAAAAATGCGGTCACTTCAGTTGCCATGCCAACCAATCGCCAGTTACCAGTACAGGGCAACCCTGAAATTGAGTCGAGGGTGTTGTTGGTTCCTGGAGGTTCCATGGCAGGACTAGATCCAACATCATTTCCTGTTGTGTTTTCTGCCGCTGAATCAAGCCAACCTGCTCAAAGTACTGTTAATATGATACCACAAAGTCAATTACAACCGTCAACTGTTGCTGGGACTGAATTGCTACCACTAGCTTCCAGTTCTGTTGATGTGGTGACACAAAGTCAGTTACCATTGTCAACTATTGTTTCCCTATCAACACCATCAGTTGACAGTTCTGCTAATGTGGTACCACAAAGTCAATTACAATCGTCAACTGTTGCTGGGACTGAATTGCTACCACTAGCTCCCAGTTCTGTTGATGTGGTAACACAAAGTCAGTTACCATTGTCAACTATTGTTTCCCTATCAACACCATCAGTTGACAGTTCTTTGTTGGTACCACAAAGTCAGTTACCATCAACTATTCATGGGACTGAATCAAGGCCACTAGTTTTTAATACAAATGACATGACAACAACAGGTCATTGTCTGTCACCCGGTGGTCTTTCGATAGTACCAACACCAACTATGGTACCATCCGCTACCATGGGAACATTGTTTCCATTATCATCAACTACTGTTCACAACACAAGTGCCATAACAGCACCAAGTACGTGTATATCATCTACTGCTTCTTGGACAGTACCAACAACAACTATGGCACCATCAGTTGCCATGGCAACTTTCCCAGCAACACCATCTCTATCAACCACATTCAGTACCGGTGCCATGACAACACTGGGTCCGTCTCCATCACCTTATGTTCCTTGGACAGCAACTACGATCCCATCGGTTACCATGGCTACATCAAATCTGTTACCAATGTCTGTTTCCAGATCAACATCACCACTAAATTCTAGTTCTATGACAATGACATCCCAACGTTCAAATATAGTTCCCGGAAATAATTTTGGTATGAGTTCGGATATATTGCAAGCTGATGTCGATAGTGGAGAATTGAGTATCCCAAGAGGAAATGAAGTGTTGAATTTTATTGAACTGTTGCAAACATCCCTGCTTATTGTGCAGTCTTCTGGACTGTACAACGTGGTAGAACGTGGACCATTTCAAGAAATGCTAACGAATGATACAAGAAATTGGACCATTCCTCTTGTGCAGGTATGGACCATTTAAAGATAGTCGTCTTTGTTTCTATTTGTCATATGAGTTTGGGATTTTAAATTAAGCTAAATTTGTCAATCTTTGTTTTACAGGAAAACCAGAACATAACAGAGCCCGAATGTAAGTTACAAAAATAATTATTTATATTTGTGTATATTAGACTACGAAATATATGCATTATCAGTTTAGACAAACGGACTATAAGAACACGTTCAAACATCGCGCTCATCATGTACCGAACGCGTGATCTAAATGACCTAAATTTATTGCTTCAGGTCAATTGCAGTAGGTTTGGCACATTTAAAATAAGCCTGAAAGGCAAAGAATTTCATGACTTGAACATTTTGTAGGAGTTTATGATTGGGAGAAGGGCTGGTGATCATATTCCCCCAGAAATTGATGATCTGATAACACGTACATGTCTATTGTAGTTGAAATTAGTAGAGATAGTAGCACCTTATACACGCGGCCGTAGTGAACGAGGGGAGGTGTAATAATATATTTCAGGCACATGTCAATGTGCCAGATAAGTTTGATTGAAAATTCAACTATCGTGTCTGAAATCCGCGAAGAATTAGCATTCAATATAAAATTTAGCTTTATTGTGGTATAAGTTAGGATCAGGACCGTCGCTAAAATATTGGAGAAAATGAAAGATATAATTAAATATGTCTGGAAGTTTTAATGTTATATATCCCCTTCCCCAGTCCCCTTCCCAAGTGGTAAAATTATTAACGGCCCTGCAGTTATACACACATAACTACAACGTTGGACGAAACGATATTACGTTAAGCGTTACGCTGAAAGAAATTAATTTGTCACATAAGTACGCTTCCCACCATAATAGTAGTACCTGTAAATCATTGTGAACTGGCGCGTATCCTACAGCGCACTGCTGCGCGCACTTCGGAAAAAATGTCAAATGCGTTCAGAATGTGGAAGGCACAACTGTGTATTTTGTGCCAAAAAGGCAAGATATTGAAAAGTAACAAACAACAAAATGAACTGGGCTATCGTACCGAGTATGACTTTGCACTTTTAGAGATGCATTAGCAAGACGCAATTCATGGTGCATATGCATGTATCACCTGTTGATTTTTTATTGGCCTGAAACGTACGTATATGCAATGTGTATCTACAATATAGCTAGATCCAAAGCACCAAACCGCATGTTTTTAGATATACATGCCCCTTTTCAATAGAGCCCCGGTACTAGTCTCGATTATATTTTTCTGGTCCAATTTTATAGACTCCTATATATTTTCCATTTGCTATTCAGAAGCAGAGGCAGTTGGCGTTTGTAGTTGTTAGAACGACAATTCTATGATTTATTTCCCAATAATGTATAATTCCTCTATTTTAAATTTCACTTGAAATATTTTATATAGTGGACATGGAAAAATTTCTCGAAAATGTTAAGTCAACGGGAAAATTAGAAATATCTTTGGTTGTTCTCAATAACGGTGGTCTCTTGAAGAAGCTTAATGAGTCCACGATTAACATTCACACAGTGGAAATTCATTCAATGTGTAAGTTAGAGCAAGTTCTTGTAAATTATTCTTTACCGCCATGTCTAGAAGTTTTACGTATTAGTGACAATGCCTTAGATGTGGAAGATATTTTTTCTTTAATTAGATCTCATACGAACATGAAAGGCTTGCATGAATTAGATTTGTCATGTACGAAGTTTCCAGAGAATAGTTTCAATTGTTTTATAACTGTACTTATCAAATGTAGCGATCTAAGAAGATTGTGTTTAACTGATAATGGCTTAACTAAAGAAGAAGTTAACTGCTTAATAACCGCTTTTGAGTCCCTTAAAAATCTTAAAAAATTAAACTTATCAAAAAATAACCTTACAGAAACACAAGCAAATGACATACTGCAAAAATATGGAGAAGGTAAGAGCATTGTTTCTTTAGATTTATCACAAAACGTATTACAAGGAAATGAAATTATTGTTCGGATTTGTAAACTGGACTCACTCGAAGAACTAAATCTTTCCCATAACCACATAAGATTTCATCCATTGCCTAGCTTAGATGAGGGAAGCGACAATTTTCCTATTAATACGAAAATTATTTCATTGTCTTCCAATCACATGACACCTAATGACATTTGCCGTTTTCTTTCTTTAATCAGATCAGACCTGCAGAAACTGCACTTAGATTTCAATCATGTTGGCAATTCTATCTGGTCATTGTGCTCGTTAAGTGTATTTAAGCATTTGAAAGTCTTAAGCTTAGCAAATACTGATATCTGTGGTCCTGCCGTTGAGGGTCTTGCTGACGTGCTGTCTTCGGTAACACAACTTGAAGAACTGGATTTATCTTCGAATAATCTTATGTTGGAAGATTTTCGAAATCTTCAATCGCACTTATCAAATTTAACTGAGTTGAAAAAGTTGAATTTAAGCAAAAATTATCTTGACGGAATTACAGGTATTTTGCAAGGGATCCTGCCTTCCTTGAATTACCTGGAAGAGTTACGGTTAAATAACGTACATTTAAATGGTGATGACTGCAAAGAACTCTTTAAGGGTTTTTTAGTTCCATTAAACAAATTGAAACATCTGAATTTGTCAGGCAATCAGATTGATATTGAGATCATAGATGAAGCTTTGCTTTTACCTCCTAATTTGCAGGAGGTAATTTTGAGTGATATTATTCATGGTGGAAAACTCTTTGTCAATATGATACCGTTGCAAGACCAGCTAAGAAAACTTCATCTTAGTAAAATCAAATTAAGACCATGTGATGCTGAGAGGTTAGCCGTTATGTTGTCGTCTTTTCGATTGTTGCAAGAACTAGCTTTAACTAACATTGGTGTTGCGGACACAAATTGTGAAAAAATCTTTCGTGCGATAAAATTGTTGAAAAATTTGAAAAAGCTTGATCTTGGGGGTATGAAAGTAAATAACGGGAAAGTCTTCATTGAAATCTTGTCGTCTTTTTTATTTTTGGAAGAAATAGTGTTTCCTGATATTTTAATACATGATGATGGTGTCACAGGGTTTTTTTATGCTTTAAGACCATTAAAATATTTGAAAAAGCTTGATTTGGGGCGGTCTACGATTACGCAAGCTGGTGACGTAACTTTAGCTGACGTGTTACCATCACTGCGGTTGTTGGAAAAGCTAGTGGTTGGAAATATTGGGTTTGAGGATGAATGC